GGATTTTTTGTGAGTTGGGACCAGCCTGGTCTATATAGCAAGTTCCAGGATAGCCAGAGCTACACACTGAGACCCTGTCTTAAAAAAGAAAATGAGCCGGGCAGTGGTGGCACACGTCTTTAATCCCAGCACTTAGGAGGCAGGGCCAGGCGGATCTCTGTGAGTTCGAGGCCAGCCTGGGCTACAGAGTGAGTTCCAGGAGAGGCGCAAAGCTACATGGAGAAACCCTGTCTCGAAAAACAAAAACAAACAAACAAACAAAAAAAAAAAAAAGAAAATGAGCCCGGCAGTGGTGGCACACGCCTTTCGCCTTTAATCCCAGCACTTAGGAGGCAGGGCCAGGATCTCTGTGAGTTCGAGGCCAGCCTGGTCTACAGAGCGAGAATTAGGACAGCCTCCAAAGCTACACAGAGAAACCCTGTCTCAAAAAACAAAAAACAAACAAACAAACAAAAAATGAACTGACAAATAGGGGCTATAGAAATAGATGACCTGAGTTTGAATCCAGCACCCATGTTGGGTGGCTCATAAACACCTGTGAACTGCTGTTCCAAGGTATCTCATACGCCTCTCGTCTTCACAGGAACACACACACACACACACACACACACACACACACACACACACACACTTACATACACACACATATAAATAAAATAAATCTTTTGAAAAAAAGAAAAAGAACCGACAAATGGGACTGTACCAAATAAATGTCTCCATACAACAAAACAGGAGCACCAGGAGCCATCCTGTAGAATGGGAGAAAAAAATCTTCCAGCTATTCATCCTACAGAAGATTAATACCCAGAATACACAAAGAACTCAAGTATAAACACCAAAAGAGTGAAGAATATATTCAATAAAAGGGCAAATTAGCCAAATAGACACCTTTCTAAAGAAAAAGTACAAATGGCTAATTGACACATGAAAAAACATTCAACTTCCTAGCCATTAGGAAAATGCAAATCAAAACTATGTTGAGATTCTGTCCCACCCTGGTTATAATGGCTCTCACCAAGAGAAAAAAAAAAAAGTCATGGTACTGAAAATGTACAGCAAAGAGTGCGGGATCCTTACACACCGTGGGTGGAAATGTACATTAGTGTAGCCACATTGAAATCAGTATGGAGTTCCTAAAATACTAAAACTACAGCTACCGCATCATCTAGCTACACTATTTCCAGGCAGACACTGAGAGGATTCAAGCTGAGCATATCATGTTCATTGTGTCACTATTTACAATAACGAGGTTATAGAGCCACCCTCTGAGATAATGGATAAAGAACAGGTGATACAGAGCCACAATGCAATTTTATTCAGCCACAAAGAAGAATGAAATTGTCCCATTTGCAGGAAAATGGATGGAACTGGAGCTCATCGTGTTAAGCAAAATAAATCAGGCTCAGAAAGACAAACAGTGTGTGTTTCCTCTCATTTATAGACTTTTGAAGGCGGAAAGACATGAAATAAGGATGGGGTTACTAAAGAAGAGGAAAAGAATTTGGAGAAAGAGAGGATGAAAGGGGTGTCTGTTTTAGTCTGTGTTCTAATGCTGTGAAGAGACACCATGATGAAGGCCACTCTCATAAGAGAAAGCATTTAATTGGGGGCTTGCTTACAGTTTTAGTTCATTATCATCATGGTGTGGAGTATGGTGGCATGCAGGCAGATGCTGGAGCAGTAGCTAAGAACTACATCCAGATCCTTAGGCAGAGAGAGACTCTGGGCGTGGCATGGACTTTTAAAACCTCAAAGCCCACCCCCAGTGACAAAGTCCAACAAGGCCACACCCCCTAATCCTCTTAATCCTTTCAAACAGAGCCACTCCCTGGTGACTAAGCATTCAAATATATGAGCCTATGGGGGCCATTCATACTCAAACCACTACAGTGTCCTAGTTTGCTTTCTCTGGGACTGTGATAAACACCATGACCAAAAGCAAGTTGGAGAGGAAAGGGTCTGCTTCATCTTTTCAGCTTACAATCCCTCATGAAGTAAAGTCAGAACAGAAACTTGAGGCAGGAATATAGATGTAGGAACTGAAGCAGAGGGCATGGAGGATCACTGCTTACTGGCTTTCTCTCTATGCTCCTATTCTTAGACCTCCCAGAACCACTTGCCCAGGTGGCTGGGCCCTCTCACATCAATCATTAGTCAAAAAGATGCCCCCATAGACTTGTCTATAGGCCCATCTGATGGAGGCATTTTCTTAAGTGGAATTCCCTCTTCCCAGATGACCCTAGTTTGTGTCAAGAAATTAACCAGCACAGAGTTAACAGTGGGGAAAATACAATTAAAAGACATCACGTGCATGCTTGGCAATGTTACTATGCAAAGCCATTACTTTGTATAATTAATAAACACTAATTGAAAGAAACAAAGGCTGGGAGTGTGGATCAGTGGTAGAGTACTTGCCTAGCATGTATAAGGTTCTAATTTCAACCCTCAGTACCACAAAAATGTACACATAAAATTTACCATCATGACCACTCTTCAGTGTATAATTGAATGGTATTAATACATTCGTAAGTTTGCACAAACACCAAGGCTGCCTGACCCCTCTTCCCATCTGTAAAATGAAAATATACCCACCCCACAGCAACTACCAGTGTCCCAGCAATCACCATTCTACTATGTATCTTTATAATTTTGACTCAAATAAGTAAACCAATCAAGCATAGTGAAGAGTAGAAGGACAAAGAGCAAAAAGTAAAATGAAGCCGGGCGGTGGTGGCGCACGCCTTTAATCCCAGCACTCGGGAGGCAGAGACAGGCGAGGCCAGCCTGGTCTACCAAGTGAGTTCCAGGAAAGGCGCAAAGCTGCACAGAGAAACCCTGTCTCGAAAAACCAAAAAAAAAAAAAAAAAAAAAAAAAAAAAAAGTAAAATGAAAATAGGAAAGTTAAGAAGCAGCTGGGGGTGGTAGTGTGTGACTGTGATCTCAGCACATGGAAGGCAAAGGGTCACTGAAGCCAGCCTCAGTGGCCAGCCAGGACTACAGTGTGAGACCCTCCATCTCAAACAATCAGAAACTGGAAAAAAAAAGAAAGAAAAACATTGTGCTTTACTGAAACAAAGAGGAAGAGGAGGAGGAGAAAGGGATGGGGAAGAGAAGAAGGAGAAGTGAGAAAGGGGAGGAGGGAGAGAGGGAGGGAGAGGGAGAAGAAAGAAGGAGGAGGGGGAGTGAGGGAGGAGGAGAAAATGCAGAGAACATTAAAGCGCCCTCACACTTCTTTCCAAGTATCCCCTTTTTTCTTCCTACTGTGAGTAACTTCTTTGGACTTGCTCTCTACTTCATAGATTCTCCTTTTAGCTGTGTCTAAGCTCTTGCTAATGCCATTCAGTTAGCTCTGAATTTGAGGTTTCAGGTTTTTAATTTCTAGAAGTTCCATGGTAGTTCTTTAAAAAAAAAACTTAAATGTATACTGTCCAGTTGTTGAGAAAATAGAAACTTAAAGGCTCAGCTCAGATTCTTCTCCCTGACTTTAGCACAGCAAACCATGTGCTTTATGGTCTCCGGCTGCCAATTCAGGTGTCTGAATTTCTTCCCTCTGTTTTGGGCTGCTTCTCACTCATCATGTCTCCTCTCAGGTTTCTTTCATCTTTGCTTCTGGGTTGGAGAAGTATCTAAATGTTATTTGCAGAAATAAGCAGCAGCGAGGGTAATGTTTTCACGGTCCCACAAAGATTGTGTTTACATTTGCTAGACACACAGATACCCGAGGCACCTGCACTTACACTGAGCTTGAAGGCTTTCGAACTTGACACTTGCTGAGTTTAGGGCCTGAGCCGCCCAGACGATTCTAAGCTGGGCTGCTGGCCATCAGAAGGCTGACTTGCCTCTGCCCATCCCCTCACCCTTTGGGTGCACCCCTCTTTGTTTTCAGTCAAAAGAAGGTGTGGTTGAGTATGATCCACACCCTTGATGGGTCCTGGACTCCTATTTGTTTCCTTAACCCAGAAAGATGCCAAAAATGACAGAGTCCCTTCCTGGCCCTTCCTGAAAGGGCGGGATAGCCTGGGTGCCAGGATCTCCTCGCTAGCCTAGCTTACTCTGGAGAGTCATCACCATGCTTTAGATATTTCCTGCTTCTATGGAGATGGCATTTGTGTTCTGTGGTGAGTTTTTCCTTGTCCTTATTAGGAGGGCTGGTCTCTGCTGCGTTGCTCACCATCACTGGAAACTTGTCTGCATTTTAATCTAAAGTTTTAAAGGACTTTCCATGGTCAGTCACTTAAGTTCAGTTCTGTATAAAGGGTGTGGTGAGATCTTATTTTTTCCTCTCCGCAGATCCTGTGTCCACTAGAATTCCCATTGACAGTCCATGCCTCTTGAGTCATATGTCAAAGCTCTGTATCTATAAAGCTCTAAGTCTGGGATTCATTTTTGCAATAGCCTAAAGCTTGCCTTCTTCCCCCTCAGCGGTGGGAATCTTGACTCCGAAGAGAGTGATATCATTCACAAGCAGGGCCCTTGGGGTGTTGTGGTGGGCGGGGCTCATGAACGAGGGTAGTATCCTTACAAAAGGGGCTCCACCAATTCTCTTGTCCTTGCATTTTGTGAGGACAGGGCCAGCAGATGCCAGTCTGTAAACCAAGAGGAGCCTGGCAGATGCAATGCTGGCCCTCTCATCGCAGACCCCCAGCTCCAGAACTACAAAGATTACCTTCTGTTTTCACAAGTCATCATGCCTATGGAGTTTGGGGTTTGTTTTATTTTAATGTTTTTTTTTCTTTATGTTTATGGATGTGTTTGCCTACATGTATGCCTGTGCACCATATGTGGTTAGTGCTTGAGGAGGTCAGAACAGAGGATTGGATCCCCTGGAACTGGAGTTGCAGATGGTTGTGAGCCACAACTCAGCTTCTGAGAATTGAACCCAGGTCCCCAGGAAGAGCAGCATTAGGTCTTTGTTTGTTTGTTTGTTTGGTTTATTTTTTGGTTTATTTATTTATTTATTTATTTATTTATTTATTTATTTATTTATTTATTTATTTATTTATTTATTTATTGAAATAGGGTTTCTTTGTGTAGCTTTGGCTGTCCTGGAACTTGTTCTGTAGACCAGGCTGACCTTGAACTCACAGAGATCCGCCTGGCTCTGCCTCCCAAGTGCTGGGATTAAGGCGTGCGCCACCACCTCACAGCTGTAACATTAGATCTTAATCACAGAACCATCTCTAGCCCTGGAGTTTTGTTTTTAACAGCCTGAATTGATGAAGACAATTCCATTATCTTTCTCCCCCCACTCTCTGTTAATTTTTGTTCTAGGCTATATCTTACTGATATTTTAATTACCACAGCCTTATTCTTCTTGTTTAGCTTCCATGATCTAGTGTGATTAGAAACACCTGTACTTATGACAGCAACCTTCATATCCAAGTGCACAAGATGGCTCCATCCCTCTGACTTTGACATCTCTCATAAAGTTTTGTAATTTTTCTCAGCCTTTATTACATAGCCTTATAGGATCCTCTCCTTAAAATATATTTTTTTAATGATATGTATCTATGTGGGTGAAGTCATGTGCACATGAGTGCAGGTACCCTCTAAGGCCATAGGTGACAGACAGATCCCTGGAGCAGGAGTTACAGGTTGTTATGAACTGTCCAGTGTGGGTGCTGGGAAGTAAACCCCGGTCCTCTACAAGAGCAATACAAATACAGCCTTTTAACCACTGAACCATCTTACCAGCCCCAAATATAGTTTTTTGTTGTTTCTTTTCTTTTGTTTTAAGACAGGGTCTCATTATGCAGCCCTGGCCTCGAACTCACCTGCTTCCCAGTGCTGGGATTAAAGGCATACACCACCACGATCAGCTGGAATCCTCCCTTGAGAGTGAAAGGACTGTATGAACTTGTCAAAATTTGAAGAAGGAGTGGGTTTTACTATATATAAACAAAGATTTAATTTCTTTAAAAAAGGTTTTGATAGCAGATGGTGCATGTGTAAAGAGTAATAATTTGACAGATCTGAGTCTGCCATGGAGAGAGCGAAAAGCACTGGGGTGTGTAACACAGAAGTCTCAAACAGAACCTGTATATCCAGGTCTGACCATGGTGCGTGTGTGCTGGGTGGGGGTTTCACGGGTCCATCCTACATGCTGTCAGTTGATAGGTCCCTTCATCTGCTGAGGACGGTTACCCGCTGAGGACATCATCAAATATACAGGCCAAGGTACTGTTGCCTGTGCCTGAGGTGAGGTCAGGCATCCTGAACTGCTGGCGGTGGGGTCCTTCGGCGGTCTTCAATGTCAGCCTCCACAGCCTCAGGCTCTCTGCCTACATCCACCTCTCACTCGCTCAAAGTCACCTGCCGGGGGCGCCACCAACGCATCCAGAACCTAGTCGTCACGTGCCCAGCTTGTGGCCTCACGGGGAGGAGGGGCAATGTCACATTTCCTAGTCAGCTGCCCCACGCTCTCCTGCTGGGCTGCGCCTCGGGCTTCATGGCCGCCCCCACTTCCGGCCCAGGCCCCTTGGGATCCCTGCTGCTTCTTCTCCTGCTGGCTACCCCAACTTGGGTCGCATCGATCAGTCACCCACACGCTAAAAGCCAGGAAAATTCATTGAGCAGTGACGTGGGTAGGTCCCCATCCCAGAGTCTGGGTGGTGGTCCTTTCTCCCTGGGTGGAACCTGGGCCCAAAGACCCGGCCTGGCCCCTCCCCACTCACCTGCACGTTATCCCCTCCCCCATCCGTGGCCCGCCCCTCCCGTGGTGTGGCCTTGCGCCCACTCTGCATTTGTTCCTCTCCTCAGCCTGTGGACAGCCAGTTCTGCAGGGCAAGATCGTGGGTGGAATGCCAGCCCCCTTTCAGAAATGGCCGTGGCAGGTCAGCCTGCATTATTCTGGCCTACACGTCTGCGGTGGCTCCATCCTCAATGCCTACTGGGTGCTGACAGCAGCACACTGCTTTAACAGGTGAGAGGTGCTGGAGCTCTTCGGGGTAATGGCGCAGGGACACAGGGAAGGAGAAGCCTGAACCTTGTGCCTGGGGCTTGGACGGCTGCATCCAGTTCTTTCTTCGTATATCAAGCCCTATCCACCATGGCTGATACACTCATCCCCCTGACCCCAAGCTCCAAGCTGCTTCCCATGGGCAAGCATAGATGTATCCACGCTGGCTAGGGACGAGGCCAGTACCTAGGCCTGTCCTCTTCAGCATAGCCCTTCTCCACAGACTAGGCTACATCCCTACATCCCTGGGACGCTGGTCCCCATTTACTGCCCCCACCCCAGGTTTACCCTCATCCAACAAGATCCCCCACACTAGAGGCAGCGTTCTCCACAGTGAGTACAGAGCTTTCTCTGGGCAGATGGCCCTGTTTCCTGATCCTCATCAGCTTTTCAGGAAGAGGCAAGAGAGGGGTCCATGTGCGTGGCTATCTGGCTCTAATAGGCACAAACTCCTGATGGTCCCCAAGTCTCCATCAGCCCAAGTCAGGACCTCTTTGAGGTCAGACAGCCAGATAGATCTGCACTGGGCTGCAGGCAGGCCCGGGCTTTTCGACCTGGCAGATGCCCATCTGTGGGCTGATGATACAGGGGGCTGCAGGCAGTTGGCCTCTATTCTGGTGGGCAGGGAGAAGAGGATTGAGACCTTTGACGTGTACGTGGGCATCAGCAACCTCGACGTGGCCACCAGATACACCCAGTGGTTTGAGCTTAACCGGGTGATCATGCACCCCACCCACGCACTGTTTCACCCTGCTGGGGGGGACGTGGCGCTCGTGCAGTTGAAGAGCCCCATCGTCTTCTCGGATGCCGTGCTCCCAATTTGCTTGCCGCCTTCCAACCTGAACCTCAACAATTTGTCTTGCTGGACTACTGGATGGGGACTGGCTACCCAGGAAGGTATGAGCTAAACGTGATCTCGTGCAAGTCGAGCATAGAATGGGTGTCCCTGACATGGGGAAGGCGAGTAGGAGCACGACTTTGAATCAAAAGATGCAGACTCTAAGGAAATAATCCGCTGCACGTAAAAAACAGCTACCAGAGATGGAAATTCCGTGATGGGGTTTATGGCAGACTTGAGGGAGAATCAGTGACCTTGGAGATAGATGAGTAGAAATTATCTATATTGAAACAGCAGCAACGAAATATGTGTGAAAGGGGAACAGAATGATATGAAAAAGAAACTCCCGGGAGTGTGTGGACTGGGCTTCCCTCTGTGGATGGGGCTTCCTTGTGGGTGGCGCTTCCCTGGGTGGGCCAGGCCTCTCTTGGGTGTTAGGTGGCTCTTGTACGTGGATAGGACTCCTCTTGTGGGGGGGAGTCCTTTCAGATTTGTCCTCCATTGACCAAGAACCCAAGACTATCTCTGGCTCCTGTCCTCCAGGAGCTAAGACTTGGCTGGACTCAGACAGGCACCCTCACCTGGCAGTTCCTCTCCCTTCTCCTCACAGGTGACAGCGTGAAACAGCTACAGGAAGTCCAGTTACCACTGATCCCCAAGTTCAAGTGCCAGCTGCTCTATGGATTTACATCTTACTTCCTGCCAGAAATGTTCTGTGCTGGGGACATCAAGAATGTGAAGAATGTGTGTGAGGTATGTCTCTTCTGGATCCGAGTCGGGCTCTGGTGTAGGTGGGGGACTGCTGGGGTGGCTGTATCCAAGCAGACAGTGTGTGACCACCACGCACACTCACACACTTGTGTCAGACCTCCGTGCTGAGACTCTGGGCTCTGTCGCAGCCAGAGAGGGGACTATATGTCTGTGTTGCAGGGAGGGGGGTCGCGAGCCACTCACCCTGCACCTGAGGGCCATACCTGGATTAGTAGATCACAGAAAGCCTCTCTTCCTTCACAGGGGGACTCCGGCGGCCCACTGGTATGTAAGCTGAACCAGACCTGGCTGCAGATTGGAATAGTGAGCTGGGGCCGCGGATGCATTCATCCCCTGTACCCAGGGGTGTATGCCAATGTCTCCTATTTTTTGAATTGGATCCGTTATCACGTGGAGAACACACCCACTCCTCCTCAGCTGCATCCCTCCTTCTCTTCATCCCCAAGAGCCATCCTTAGTGTTTTTGTGAACATGCTGGCTAGCCTGTTGGTGTTGTGAGGACTGAGACAACCACCCGCTGCGGCCGGCCCCTCGTACCCTGTTCCTGTCCTCTGTAGCTCTCCAACCCCTCCCCCATGCACCTTGTGCCCTGAAGCCAGGACACTTGTCCCAGACTCTAAGTCCGTAAAAGGCTGAGCGAAAGAAATGGAGAGAGTCAGAGGTGGACCAGGAGGGAGAGTTGGGGGACAGCTGGGGTGAGCCAAGAGCTTGGGCTCTACCCAGTCAAACTTATTAAACATCTGTGAAACAAGTGCCTCAGAACTGGTAACCTCGCCTTTCTCTCCAGCCTCATTACAGACCCCGTCACTGTGCAATGGGTAGGAGTCCACACGTAGAAAGTAGGCCACTCAGACACCATCAGGCAGTCTCCCACCGTGTGAAAAGAGAGGCACAAAGGCTGGAGAGATGGCTCAGTGGTTAAGAGCATTGGGCTGCTCTTGTAGATGACCCAGGCTCCATTCCCAGCATTCACATGGCAGCTCACAACCACCTGTAACTCCAGTTTCAGGGATCCATTTCTGGCCTCCACAGGCACCAGATACAAGGCACACTGAGTTACACAGATATACATGTGGATGAAACATCCATACACACAAAATATAATGAAGTTTAGGGGGGTGGGGAGAGAAAGGTACAAAACAAACTGAACTTTTCTAGACCCGCACCGGGGCAGGCCTGTGGGCACAGCCCATGGAAGAGAATTTGGTTGATTCAGTTTAAAGATTGTCAAAAAAGAGTTTGGGAACATGGAAATATCCCAAGTGGAAAAGCAGAAAACGTGAGCTGAGAATGAGCAGATACAGGGAAGAAGCCAAAAGGCAGTGTATAGAAACGAATGAGCAGAAAGCCCCACAGTACCAAGTCTGATGTCTGCAGGACCCGGGCCCCCAGATCCTGCCAGCCTCAGATAGACAATATCCCCCGCCCCCAATTTCATCTCTGCTGAACATGGGCAGACTCCCCAAGCAATGCAGCTTCACAATGATTGGCATAGCAGCTCCACTGTGTCAGGGGTCCTAAGTCAACTAGAGATGGTTTGTAAACATGGGAGGAATGATAGTGGCACGTGCCTATAATTCTGGCACTTAGGATGCTGAAACAGGAGGGTGACAAGCTTGAGGCCAGCCTGGCCTACATAGAAAGAACCTGTCTTAAAAAAAAAAAAAAACCAGTGTGTGGAAAGGTATTTGTAGGTTCTGTGGAAAGCACATTCTTTTATGAGCATGTGGCAGAGTTCTGCTACTGACCCTGCAGAGATGCCAAGGGACCACTGACTTTCAAAATGTGGCTATTTATTTGTTTGTTTTGGGGGACAGGGTTCCTCTGTGTAACAGCTCTGGCTGTCCTTGAACTTGCTTTGTAGACCAGGCTGGCCTCGAACTCACAGAGATCTGCCTGCTTCTGTCTCCTGAGTGCTGGGGTTAAAGGCATGCACCACCACCTCCTGGCAAAATGGCCTTTTGGAAAAAAAAAAAGTAGGAGGAGAGCAATTATTAACTTAAGATAGAACCTGAAAACAAAAGTCCACAAAAGAAAAGACATGGAGAATACCTACTGAAATAGAGGGTGTGTAAGAGCTCCAAGAAGGTATTATATGTAGTTCTATGCAAATAAATAATAAAAAAGTACTTTTATTAAAAAAAAAAACAACTAGCCCCAGCAGAGAAAGAAGCTTAAAACAGACCAGATTCCATAAACAAATGAAGATATTTAAGAAAGTGACACCCACCCCCGCTTAGTAGAAGTCCCTGGGAACAGATTTCCTTAGGAGATGTCCTAACCTTCAATATGGAGATGCTCCAGCACTGCTTGGACTGCTGGGAGCTCAGGTAAGAGAGCAGCATCCCACTTGCTGCCAGGAGCAGCTTTGGATGAAGATACACTAACATAATCCAATGTATAGACAAAAACCCGAATGAGGGGTAGGTGCGATGGTTCAGTGAAGAAAGGTGCTTGCCACCAAGCCTAAAGACCTGAGTTCAATCCCAGGGACCTTCAGGGTGGAGCCAACTGACTCCCACAAGGTCTCTTTTAACCTCTATGTGTGCCATTTAGCACAGGAGCACACACACACACAAGTAAACAATAAATGTAATGAAAAATAAATAAAAACCCTACGGCGAGATTAACAAATAGACCCCTGCTTTACCTTTCAAAACAGTGCCCTACAGTCAAATAGGACCTAATCTATCATGTGAGATTGATTAAATGTTAGGCCGGGCAGCGGTGGCACATGCCTTTAATTCCAGCACTCAGGAGGCTGAGGCAGGAGGATCTCTGTGAGTTCAAGGCCAGCCTGGTCTACAGAGCTAGTTCTAGGGCAGCCAGGGCTACACAGAGAAACCCTGTCTTGAAAAAAAAAAATGTTAGGAAACACATAGCTAAAATTCACCATATCAACTGTTCTGCTATGGAGACTTCCAATGAGGAAGCTTTTGACAAATTCAAAAGTCATTTCCAGTTTTTTAAAATTATTTATTTTTATTTTATGTACATTGGTGTTTTGCCTGCATGTATGTCTGTATGAAGGTGTCGGATCCCCTAGAACAGGAATTATGGACAGTTTCGAGCTGCCATGTGGGTGCTGGGAATTGAACTCAGGACCTCTGGAAGAGCAGCCAGTGCTCTTAACCACTGAGCCATCTCTCCAGCCCCCATTTCCAGTTTTAAAAACAGGCAGGATTATATGAATAGGAAGATGTGTGCTTGGATCCTCAGTCTCAACCTGGCAGAGTGGCATTAGGCACGCCCTAAGGCCTGAAATACAGGGGGGCTGGAGCGGTCCCCACTCTGCTCCTGAGTCCGTCACCACAGCCACACGGAGGACACATCCCAGGAAACAGAAGGAACGGTTTGAGTCATCTTTTGTAGGAAAGTGAGAGTTTACCATGGGCACCAGCCACTTGTGAAGGGAGACACTTCAGAAGTGGCTGTGCCTCGGCAGAAAGCGCACGCTGGCAGGGAAGACCAGAGCAAGACTCCACACCTGGAGTCCTAGCACAGCACGTGGAAACAGAGAGGAATCTCTTAAACACTGCTACAGATGGAGTGTCTCACAAAGAATCTGTGTGTCTTTGGCTCACAGTCTAGAGCATGGTGTTAGTACCGTACCATGGTGGATGACACCTTGTCATGGCACAGCGGCATACCAGACAGTGTTGCCCATCAGTCACCCCCTCCTTAACCCACAAATCTAGAAGTTCACGAGTGATTAATCCACCATGAGACCAGTTCCTCAGCATCCAGGCACCTCTACATGTAACTGACATGGCTTAGGGATTCACTGTCTGACACATGGGTATGGAGGTCATAGCCAAGCCCTAGCACCCCTACACACAGCCGAGAAACAAAGAAAAAGTAGACTTGAGGCTATGGGTGTAGATGCCTATATACTTGCCTAACATGTATGAAGCCTCGGGCTGGATCCCCAGCACCATATAGATCAGGTGTGGAGCCATACACCTGTGATCTCAGTACTTGGAAGATGGAGACAGAAGGGTCAGGAGTTCAAGATCACCCGTGGCTTGAATTTTTGACACAGGTATTGTCTAAAAAAAAAGTAGGTTTTAATAGATGATAATATAGTTTATATTCTCAGCTAGGACAGCATGAAGTAAAGTGGGATTTCTTTTGTGTTTTTGGACCTGGACAAGTTGATTTCAATGTTTACATCAAATCACATGTAAGCAAATGTGCTCAAAATAAATTCAACGTGAAAGCCAGTGGCGTAGGTCTGTGGTAGTCGTGCAGTGGGAGGCCATTGGTGCAGACACACCCTGCAATCAACATGCCACAAAAGGTGCATAATTCGTGTCTGTCCAAGAACAGACCAAAGCCTGAGTGGATGGAGCCTGGAGCGCAGTACTTCAGTATGTAAATAAAAGTGAGCATGGTGGTATAAGCTTGTACTCCCATCACTCGGAAGGCTGAGGCAGAAGGATCATGAGTTTGAGGTAAACTTGGGTTATATTATAATATCCTTTAAGAGAAAACAAAAATCATAAATGCTGTCAAAGGTTTCAGAAAATTGCCACATGCCAGGTAGTCACACTGGAGAGATAAGAATTAACTAGGATGGCTGGCTTCTGTTGTCCTAGGTCTCGCATCTTGGCATAAAACTGCAAGGAAGTTCCACTGTGGTCTCAGTGGTGTTCGCACCATTTCAATCTATAAAATTTACATTCATTCTGTCAGCAATTGTTTAAGACCAACTGTGAGCACGTTGGGTTTCTTTTCCCAGCCTATCCTTCAAAATTCAGGTCCAGCAGGAACCACACAGGTTCCAACTCAGGGAGAGGGACTATGGGAGTGTTCAGCAGTCACACTGAGAGCCTGCCCAGTATGGTGCTGACCATGTAGTGTGTGCAGGGTGGACACTCCCCCACCCATCCCTGTCTGGACATAATGACAGAGCCAGAACTCTTTACAGTCCCTGTATGTACCAGGCCTCTCCAGGACATGAAAGGCTGAGGCAGATGCATGCTCTAAGCAATCCAGTTAGGACTCCGCTGTCGTCCCTAAGTTCGTAGTTTCTAGTGAAACCACACACAGAGTTTCTGCAGTCATTCATACCGGCTTGCCTGAAATGGTAATATTTAAGGGACAAAGAAGGTTCCCACACCAAGTCCGTGACCATCATGCAGGATAATGGAGTGAATGTTTAAAATGCGTATGATGAGCGATCATTTTGGTGTATGTGTGTGCATGTGCTCGTATTTGTGAGGAGGTGTTCATATGTGCACATGCATGTGCAGGGCACAAGACAACCTCAAGTGTCACACCATGGGAACTAACACTTTGTCCTTTTGCTTTTGTTCGTTAGTTTTTTTTTTTTTTTTTGGTTTTTTTCGAGACAGGGTTTCTCTGTGTAGCTTTGCGCCTTTCCTGGGACTCACTTGGTAGCCCAGGCTGGCCTCGAACTCACAGAGATCCGCCTGGCTCTGCCTCCCGAGTGCTGGGATTAAAGGCGTGCGCCACCACCGCCCGGCTAGTTTTTAATGTGTATGAGTGTTTTACCCGCATGTATGTGTGTGCACCATGTGCATGCCTCGTGACTGCAGAGGCCAGAAGAGGGCATCAGAGCCTCTGTGACTGGAGTCAAAGATGGCTGTGAGTAGTGAGGATGGAGCCCAGGTCCTCTGAAAGAGCAGCCAGTACTCTCAGCCAAGGAGACATCTCTCCAGCTCCACATCACAAGATCTTTCAATGGCCTGGAACTCAGTCAGTCAGCTAGTCTAGCTTCCTGGCCATCTCCAGGGATCCTTCTGTTTCTGTCTCCCCAGAGCTGGGATTCAAGCACATGCCATCATGCTGGCTTATTTTACATGGTCCTGGAGATCGAACACAGGTCCTCATGCTTACATTGCAAATACTTTTTTTTTTAGTTCGTTAAATTGCTTTCCAGTTTATTTACTGTTTTAGAGATCCAATTTTTCTATATATTTTTTTAAATTTCCCAGTTGTCATACTATGACACTTTTGAATACGATGTGCTGTTTCCGTCATGCAGACCCTGAGCAAATTGAGCATGTATCTCCTCCCCCTCAAGCCGGGTGGGCCCCCACCTTTCTTCTCCTATCCCTCAGCCTGTTGTGTTTGTACATGAAAACCCTCATGGCACATTAGGACTGCTGATGCATGCATTTTCCAAGCTACTGAACATGCCTCCTCATTTGTAGCTCCCAATTTGTGGTTTTCCTCCTAAGACACCAGAGCCTGCTGCTTCCTGGCATCCTGACATCTCCTGACACAAGGGGGCAGTTCTCTGGCACCCAAGAGTGAGACTTCCCTGGACCCTAGGCCATATGAACTGGCTCCTGTGAGGGCTCCTCCAACCCCACCCCAGAGTGTTTGGAGCAGGGACCTCCTCAGGAGGAGGCACAGTTGTGATGCCTCGCTTGGGGTGCTGAGGTTGCTGGTGGAGATGGCAGATTGTAACCAGACACTCACCAGCATCTCATTTGTTCTGAGCATTGCAGAGTGAGAACAGGTGTCCCGAAGGCCCAGACCCCAGGGTCACAGGATTGTCCATGCTGGGGATGCCATGAGCCGCTTCACACACCAGCCTAGCCTGTGTTCTGCTTTCTCTCCTCCACTGTCCAGAAGGGTGCGTGTGGATCATGGACCTACCTAATCTTGGGAGAAGTAGTTGTGATGTCTGACTTGGGGTGTTGAGATTGGTAGTGGGAAGTTGGGGGTGGATCCTGGTGCATGAATCATTGAGTGAAGGTTCAAGAGCCAGAAGGGCCCATCTTCCCCAATCCCACTGCCTTTGAAATCCCCCCAGCTCCAACCCCTCAGGAATCCAAGAGTGATTCAAGAAATATAAGTACCATGAAATGCCATATTATTAGAATTAAGGGGGGCATTCACATCTTTTGGGGAGGTGTTTCGAAACAGCATTTCTCTGTGTAGCCCTGCCTGTCCTGGAACTTGCTTTGGAGACCAGGCTGGCCTTGAACTCACAGAGATCCACCTGCCTCTGCCTCCTGAGTGTTGGGATTCAAGGCGTGCACCACGACTGGGCAGCGTCTCAATTATTAAAACAACAGAAGAAGCATTGGACAAAAGCCAACATCCTTTTCTGATTAAAAGAAAAAAGCATGTAATAATAGACTGGGAGTAAAATAGAACATACTCACCACAATAAAGGGTATGTTTGAAAAGCCCACAGCTGGTTCCACGCTTAATAGGAAAACAGACAACTTTTCCCTGAGATCAACAATACAAGAATGTGAGATTTCCCCCACAGCGCTCAGCATCCTACCCAGAGTGCTAGCCAGAGCAAGCCGGCAACAAAAGGGAATGGCAGCCCGATTGCAACAGGAGAAGGAGCGCTTTCTGTATGGCATGGTTCTGTGCTGTGGACGTTTCTAAGACACACACACACACACACACACACACACACATCACACACACACATACACCACACACACACACACACACACATACACACATACACACACACACCACACATACACACACACACACACACACATACACACATACACACACACACACCACACATACACACACACACACATACACACATACACCACACATACACACACACACACACATATACACACATACACACACACACACCACACATACACACCACACACACACACATACACACACACACCACACATACACACACACACGTACACACATACACACACACACACCACACATACACACCACACACACACACATACACACACACACACCACACATACACACACACACATACACACACACACACATACACACACCACACCACACACACACACACCACACACACACACACACACACACACACCACACACACACACACATACACACACACATCACACACACACACACATACACACATACACACACACACCACACACACACACACACACACCACACACACACACACATCACACACACATCACACACACACACACACACCACACATACACACACACACACACACACATACACACACACACACACACCACACATACACACACACACACACACACCACACATACACACACACACACACACACACACACACACACACACACACACACACACGTGCACGCCTCAAAAAGTTGCAGGATACAAAATCCACACACAAAATCCATCACACTTATAAACATTAGCCTTCAACAGCCCCAAAAGGAAATAAAGAACACCAGATACAGGTCCAGGACAAGTGCCCAGGGCCCACCCACAGAATCAAAGCCATGGTGTCAAGGCCACAGAGTCAAGCCCACATTTCTGGCCTGCTTCCTGGTACACATGGCTGAGCAACCACGGGCCGAGTCTGGAAGGTCTTGAGCAGCCAGGAAAGCATGCAGGAGGGTAGTGAGCTAGGCTCAGTAAAGTCTGCGGCTCCAAGTCTGCGTTCTACTTCCAGTCAGCACTGTATACCGTTGGTCCTTAGTGCTCTCTGGGGATGAAGGTTACTGGGACCTTCAGGATGGCCAGAGAAGATCCCTAGCTTCAGAGAGATGAAGAAATATGTAGCATCCCCTCATCACACACCTTGTGCCCTGCCTGCCCTCTAAGAAAGGGGCCTTGTTACCAAGCAAGACCGGCTTGGTCTTCAACGGGAGGTCCCACTGATTGAGGAATTCTGATTGGAGGAGGTGGGCTGGCATGGGGTAAAAGGGGTGGGGGGTGGGGCGGATAGGGACTTACGGCCCCAGGGATGGGTGGAGGCTATGCTTGGGAAATCCAAACAGCCTAGTCCCAAGCTGGCCTCTCAGCAGGATGGGTTTTTCCTCCACTCTCCCTAGCTGGAAGGGGAGACTGAGTGCATGAGTCGGGGTAGCCTACAATCCAGAAAAGGAAAGCAGAAGACTCATATGGGAAGTGCCAGGGATGGACAGGTACCTGACATTCTGTGTGACCAATCTACGCAGTCCCTGATGAGGACACTGGATAGGAGTGAAGAAAAGCCCAGGAGGTCGCTGGGCAGAGCAGGATCACCCCTATTTCATAGAAAGTCGCCCCAGTCACTGGAACAAATTATATACTTCTAAGTGGGCTGAGGCTCCCTCTCCAGCCCCCCCCCCCCCCCCCCCCCCCCCGCTTTCTCCTACATAACCTCCCCCACTTCCCCCACATCTTCGCTCCTCAGCATTTCCCTCCCGGGTCCTTCCCTCCCTAGCCCAACCACCCCCGCAGCCCTCCCCTCCCCAGCACTCTCCTCCCAAGCCTCAACCCC